TTCGTAGATGGGACAAGACGCTAGACCCGTGCCGGGTGTCTGAACCACAGAAGGGCGGGGCAGGACAGGACCAGGAGTACCAAGCCTGGAGCCTGACCTGACCTCAGTAACAGAACACACGCCTTCCCGATCAATCATACTGACCGGAGGAAAGAATTCAGATCGGGGAACTAGAATCTCCCCTCCTGTGGTCTGAATGTCCCCTTAAGTCATATGTTGAGGTCTGACTGTGAATGAATTAAGAGGTTGCAAACCTAATCTATGGTGCTAAAAAAGGTGGGACCTTTGGGGACCAGCAGGTGGCGTGGTGGTGAAGTTGCTGGACACTCCCACGTGGCCAACCACGGTTCAAGTCCTGGACCTGATGGCGTGCTTTCTCACTTTCCCTCTGTGTGTGTGTGTGTGTGTCTGGTCAAATTAAAAAATAAAATGAATGAATAAATAAAATAAATAATTATAAAAATAAATTTTTAAAAAAGGTGGGGCTTTCAAAGATTAAGACCATCGGGACCAGCAGTTAGCGTAATGGCTATGTTGCTGGACTCCCACATAGTCGACCGCGGTTCGAGTCCCAGATCTGGTGGCTTAAACTCACGCTGGGCACGTATGCGTGTGTGCCCAAGATCCTGAGAGGAGAATGGAGGAGAAGGGATTGTGGCGTGACCATCCCCCTTGGGGGGTGATTTCTCGCTTTCTATCTCTCTGTCTCTCACTGTCTGTCTGGTGAGTACATGCGCCCTATAGCAAAAACCTCTCCAAAAAAAAAAAAAAAAAAAAGATTAAGACCATAAGGCAGGGCCCCATGACTAACTCCTGGTGGGTTTCCTTTTCTTTCTTAAGATTTTTTTTTTTTTTTTGCTGTTGTGCGGCTTGCAAGGGGAGGCCCTCATGCCTTCTCTCCAGCACTGCGCTATCGGGCACACTGCTGCGTTCTGAGAGCCAGGCTTGCTGCAGCCGCCAGGTCTAGAACTTGAACTGCAAAACTGGCTACGTGGGAATCCAGCACTTTCACCACACCTCCTGTGGGCCCCGATTCTATGTGTTAATATAGGTAAGTTACTTCAAAGAATTCCTGGAGCCTCTTCAGCATTCTAAAAGTGTAATGTTTTTGCTGTGAGTTATTGGCGGATCTCATCTTCTGGTGGCAAACTCTCTACCTACTGTGCCTCTTTTTTAAGTTATGGAAATGGAGAGAGGCAAGAGGCAGGCCTTCAGAAGAAGACTCCTCCATGGCTCCTGAGAATTAGTGATTTCAGGGAAAAAAGAGAAATGAAGGTTTTCTACGGATAACTCAGCCTCCAGCCCACAAACTCGAGTGGTAGGGAGCCCCTCTAGCCTTCTCTCTGTCTCTGTCTTTCTCTGTCTTCTCTCTTTTGTTTTTTTGTAATTTTTCCTTTAACATTTTTTCGAAGGTAAAGTATTCTCTTTGCTTTCAGCCCCTCCGTTATCTTGCTAATAATCCCCTTTCCCCTTCCTACCCAGGAGAGGCAAGCGGCAGGCCTTCGGAAGAAGACTCCTCCATGGCTCCTGAGAATTAGTGATTTTGTGCAGCGTGCTTGTGCATCACATAGTTTGTTTTTTTTTAGTTTTTGCTTTTTTTAAGAAAAAATAAGTATTTTTTAAAATTTTTTCTTTCTTTTTCTCTCTGTGTTTTTGTGTTTTTTATTTGTTTGTTTGTTTTTCTTTTTTTTTTCTCTCTCTCTGTTTTCTTTTCTTTTTCTTTTATCTCATCACTCTGCTCCTCACTCTCCATTCTCTGTGTTTCTAGACAGATCTGAGGGAACCAAAGCCAAACATCCAAATACTATTAGGGTTAACATCTCCCTCAATATCCAATAAATCTGCTGCGCAAAGGGATAAAATTGGAACAGCAAAGGGACTCCAGATCACCTCCTTCTGCATGCTCCTAAATGCTCAGATTGAACTTCAGGAATTAGGAAGAAACACACCATCCATCAGATGACTAGAAATCACCGCAGGGCCACAAGAAGTATGGGAAAGCAAGAAAATCCCTCTCCTCCAAAGGAAAAGAATAGTTCTTCTTCATCAACAGACAGCTCAATGGAAATCATGGAAATGTCTGATAAAGAATTTAGAACATTGGGACCAGCAGTTAGTGTAATGGCTATGTCACTGGACTCCCATGTAGTTGACCGTGGTTCGAGTCCTGGACCCGGTGGCTTAAACTCACACCGGGCGCGTGTACGTGCACGCCCAAGATCCCAAGAGGAGAATGGAGGAGAAGGGATTGTGGCATGGCCATCCTCCCGGGGTAGGTGGGGGTGATGTCTCGCTTTCTATCTCTCTGTTTCTGTCTTTCTGGCGAGTGCACGTGCCCTATAGCAAAAACCTCTAAAAAAAAAAA